CCCCCCCCGTCGGTCCCCAATCCTCGCAGGAATGATGTCCCCTGTCACGTCAGCCGGCGCAACGGCCGCCCTCGGCCCTGGGTCCCACTACCGGCCCGACAACAACGCCGAGATGGCCGACGCACAGGAGACCCTCGCCGCCGCGCCTGGCGTCGTGGGCTCCCCCTTGCATGACTCCTCTGGTGTTGCCAGCCCCGGGGCGGCCACGGCCGCCGGTGGCGCCGACCCGCGCGGCGGCAGCAGCAACACCAACAGCAGCAACAGCAGCAGCAGCAACAGCAGCAGCGGCTCCGGATGCCAGACGGCCGCGGCCGCGGCTGCCCCTGGCCAAGAATCGCCCCCCCCCGGGGCCGGGGCCAGCGGCCTGGCCGGGCCCGACCCGGCGGCCAAGCACTCCGCCGCCCGGCCGGACTCCCGCGGCGCCCTCACGCACTTCGACGTGGCCGCTGCCATGGAGGACGCCGAAGATCTGCCGCCGGTGTCCGAGCGCCTGACCCCAGGCCCGGCCCCGGCTGGAGGCGCCGGCACCACCGGCACCCCCCTGTCGCCGATTGCCGCCGGGAGGCGCGCCTCCCTCCCGCTGGCCATGCACATGCCATCGGCCTCGCCCGGTGAGCAGGGCGCCGCCACCGCCGCCGCCGCCACCTCGGCCCAGCCGGCCCCGGTTCCCGGGGCCCCCGGAGCCGGCCCCGGCACCGGGCGGCGTTTCTCCGTGCGTCGCTTGGTCTTGGTCTTGGTCTTGATGTTGTTGTTATCGTGTCCTCCTCGCGCCCTCCCCGCCCCCCCCCCCCTCCCCTTCTCCCCTGGTGTGTGGGCCTTTCCGACTGACCCCGGCTCTATCTCCCTCCCGGCCCTCCTTCTTTCTGTGCTCGTCCACTACTGTAGGTTGCCGTCCCCGGGTCGGGGAATCCGATGAACGGTGCACGCAGCGGCGCCTCGCACTCCTCCGGGTCCATGGTGGGCAAGTATGTCTTGGACCGGGTCATCGGCCAGGGCACCTATGGCAAGGTTCGCTCTGCCACGGATCGCCTCACCGGCGAGAAGGTACGGCCCTTCCCCCGCATCACACCCTCCCTCCCATGCGCTGGCGGGTAGCTATCCGTGCATGGGTCCCCTTCCCCCCGCGCGCGCCTACCCCTGTCTGTCTCTCTTTCTTTTTCTCTCTCTCTCTCTGTGTATGTATGGATATCTAACCACACACGTCGTGTGCCAACACACGTGTCACCTCTCCCTTCTCTTGCCCCCTCACTCCCCCTGGTTGCCATGCCAATGGGCTCTGTGTGCTCACCCCACTCCCCACTGGCCAGGTTGCCGTCAAGATCATCGAAAAGAACTCCATCACCAACGAGCGGCAGATGCGCCGTATCCAGAAGGAAGTCCGCTTCCTGCGACTGCTTACCCACCCGCACATTGTCCGGGTGCACGACGTCCTGGAAACCCCCTCGTCCATCCTCATTGTCATGGAGCACGCGGCCGGTGGCGAGCTCTTCGATTACATCGTCACCCGCCGGCGCGTGCCGGAGAAGGAGGCCCGGGCCTTCTTCCGGCAGATCCTCTCCGCCGTAGACTACTGCCACCAGAACTTTGTCATCCACCGGGACCTCAAGCCCGAGAATCTCCTGCTAGACGAGAGCCGCCGGCAGATCAAGATCATCGACTTCGGCTTCAGCAATACCTACGACTCGGGTGACCTGCTGAATACCTTCTGTGGCTCGCCGTGCGTCTTTCCCCCTTGTGCTGCCCCCCCTTTCCCCACGTCCCGAACACCAATGACTAATTCGACCCCCGTCCCTCTCTCTCTCTCTCTCTCTCTCTCTCTCCCCCTCTCTCTCTCCCCCTCTCTCTCTCCCCCTCTCTCTCCCCCCATCTCTGTCTGCCTGTCTGTGTGTGCCCCCCTCCCTCCGCCCACCCACCCACCCGCCCACCCACACGCATAGTTTCTACGCCGCTCCCGAGATGATTCTCGGCAAGCGGTACACCGGCCCCGAGGTGGATGTCTGGTCGCTGGGTGTCATCCTCTTTGCCCTGCTGTGCGGACACCTGCCCTTCGACCATGACGATGTCAAGGAGCTCTACCGGCGCATTGCCCACGCGTCTTTCGTCATCCCGCCACACGTGTCGGCCGAAGCCAAGGACCTCATCGGACGCATGATCACGGTCAACCCGAAGAGGCGCGCCACCATGGCCGAGATCATGGCCCACCGGTGGGTGCTGGATGGGTTTGACGGCCCGCCGGACAGCCACCTGCCAGCGCGCGACCCGATCGACCCGGACTTTGTGGATCCGCAGATTGTCCAGCAGATCGAGCGCTTTGGCTTCCGTGTGGAGAACCTGCTCGACCGGCTGACCGACCCGAACATGCCGCCGAATCCCGTCCGCTCGGCCTACTACCTGGTGAAGGAGCTGTACGAGCGCGAGGAGCGCCGCCGGTCCGAGGAGATGGCCCTCCAGGCGGCCTTCAGTAACATGCACATGTATCCGCCCGGCGGGGCAGCGGCGGCGGCGGCGGCGGCGGCGTCCGCTGCTGCGGCGTCCGCGGCGGGCACCGCCCCGCGCTCGGCCGATGACGGGAGCCCCATCCCGGGCGGGGGGTCACCCTCGCCGCCGACCGGCTTCCGGTCACCGGTCCCGCCGGTCGGGGCCGGGACCCGGCGCGCCGGGTCGCCATACGACCCCAGCCGGTCGCCGACACCCACGGCCGGGATGGGCCCGGGCCCGGCGCACCATGCCGCCAGCCGGAGCCTGGACCACGGGGCGGCCGGGCCGCACCCGGGCATGGCCCCTGGCGGCCCCCCTCCCCACATGTACCACTCCCCCTCGCCGACGCACCACATGCACCATGCGCCGCCACACTCGCCGGTGTCCGGCCTCCCGCATCACATGCAGACCGGCCATTCGCCCTATGGCGCTGGCGGAGGGTTTGGCTCTGCCGGGCCACACCACATGGCCGCCGGCGGCCCGATCGGGGTCCCCTCATCGCAGCAACAGCAGCCCATCCACAGCCATCTGCCACCGGGGTACCGGGCCGATGTGCACGGGCGCCGGAGGAACTCCGTGCAGCCGCTCATGTCGACCCCCACCACGTCCGGCCTGGCTCCGGCCGGGCCGCCGGGGCACCACCTGCTCCACCCGCATGCGCACCCGGCGGCCGGTTCCGGTGGCGGCGCTGGCGGGGCCTCAGTCTCGCCGGCCGGCACCTTCGCCGCGCCGCACCACCACCCGCACCATGTCATGCCCGGGGCGGCCGGGTCGCACTTTGGCCCGGGCCATGGTGGCCCGACCGCCGCTTCGTCATCTGCCCAGCCGCCGCAGCATTTGCCGGCGCCGCCGCGCCTCAGCGAGGCGGACGAGGACGCGCAGCACGGCTCCCCGGCGGGCGCGGGGCCCGGCCAGCCGCAGCCTCCATCGTCCGGCTCCGCCGCCGCCGCCTCCGGCAGCGGCAGCAGCAGCAGCAGCAGCAGCGGCTCCTCCTGGACCCGTCGGTTCTCCCTGCCCTCAAACAACTTCGTCCCCCGGTCCTCGCGGTCTTCTTCGTCGCGCGGCGCGGCGGCCGCCACTCCCATGCCCACCGTCCCCGAGGGAGGGGCGGCGCCGCCAGCCTCGGTGGCGGCCTCGCGGTCGCCCGGGTCTCCGGCTTCCGATGCCGCCCCGGTGGCTGCCTGCTCGTCGTCCCGGCAGACCGCCACCACCGGCGCCGGCCCGCCCCAGTCCACCTGGAGCAGCCGCCGGCGGGGTTCCCTCTTCTCGGCGGCCCCCATGGCCCCGCCCCAGTTCTACCCCGGGCATCCGGACATCGGGGGCGACGCGGTTCCGATCGACAGCGAGCAGCACCAGGTCCGCACCGTGTCCCTTGGCTGGTTCTCCCTCTCGACGACGTCGGCGAAGGTGCGTCCACACATGGCCCCCGGTGTGCGGGGCGGGCGGCACACACGTGTGCCCTCCTCCTCAAGTGTCTTTTCCTCTCCTGCCTTTTGCCTCGCTTTCTCCCTCTGTCGTCTCCCCCTGTCCATGCATGTTGCCCAGGCTTCTCACCCCCCCCCCCCCTTTCCTTGTACATACACACTCATGCAGACCGTCACCGAGATCATGACCGAAGTGGCGCGGGTGCTGTCAGAGAACGGCATCAAGTATGTCCTCGACAGCCCCTACGTGTTTGCCTGCGACACCGGGGACCATCGCCTTCAGTTCGAGCTGGAGGTTTGCCGTGTGCGTGTTTGCCTCTCTGCCTCCCCTTCCTTCCACTTCCTGCTCCTCCTATGTGCCTCCGCGCGTGGCCATGTGTGTCCATGTGTGCACTTCCCATTCTGACCCTCTGCCCTTGTCCTCGGCCTTCTTCTTTCTCTTCTTCTCCTCCTCCTCCTCCTCCTTTCCAGGTCAAGCACATGAACCTCCATGGCATCAAGGGGAAACGCCTTGGTGGCTCGATCTTCCACATGAAGAAGTTGACCGCCCGCCTCTTTGCTCAGATGAACCTCTGAGCATACGCGCGCATGCCTCCGCCTCCTCCTCTCCTCATGTGCCTTCCTTTCCTCCATTCCCCCCCTCCCTTCTCCTCCACCTTCTCCTCCCCTCCTCCATACATACCATATACATAAATATATTTACACACACACACACACACACACATTCAGATCTCCCCTTCAAGAGTGTGTCGTTGGTCAGCATTTCCGCCACCCTCTTCCCGGCCCTTTGTCCGCTGGCTGCGCAAGAAAACACCCGCGGCATCCCGCGTCCCAAGCATCCTCACGTCGGGCCCTCTTCCAGGGCGCACAGACTCTTGCACCCAGGCACTTCTTCATTGGAAAAGGGGCAGGGAGATCCCCCCCCCCCCCCCGCCCCTCGGAAGACATTCCACCAAGAGGACGAGGTCCCGCACAGCAGAGAACAATGCCGCCACCACCGGGGTCACACGTCGGACAATGGACACAAACAGGCGCAGCGCCGCCGATGCGCTTGCCTTTGCGTGGGCATACACAGGCTCTCGAGGGCCCTGTGGTCACGGTCCCACTCACGGGACAACACATGACCGCGGATCACGCCACCCGGGCGATTTTCGCTAGGCCACGGGCCGGGGCTGGGTGGGTGGGAAAACAGCGGACGCCGCGTGCATTCCTGGTGTTTCAAATTCAAACCCCCATCTCTGTGTTCCCACCCGCCGTGGGCTTGCCTGCAGTATTTGGTGGCAACGGTGGCTGGGGGGGGGGGGGGCATCCTTCTCACCGCGCGAGATCGCCTCCGGGGGCCGGCTGTTCTGCCACCGGCACCGCTCTGGACCGGAGGCGCGCATTCTTGACACCGGGATCCCGGCCTCCGAGGCCCACTGCCCTCGCAGCATGCCCAGAACTTGACTACCAGAGAACGAGCCCTTCTTGGCGGAATGTGCTGACACAGTGGTACTGTTTAAACGGGGGGTGCGCGGCTTGTGTCGATCGCCGGTGCCACTCGGGCCTAGGCCGGCGCGAGGGCCCCCCACCTACACACACGCACACACAGTGTGTGCGCGCGCGCGCGCGCGTGTGTGTGTGTGTGTGTGTGTGTGTGTGTGTGTCGTCGCGCCCGGCAGTGGAGGGCTGCTCTGGATGGATGGATCACTTCCAGAACGCGTCGAGGAAGCCATCGGATCGTGTCCTCCTGCTGGCGGGCACAGCCTCACAAGCGCCCTTCCTTGGGGAGGGGGCGCGAGGAAAAGGGAGCGCGGAGGTGGGGCTACATACGCGCATGCGCAAAAGGTGAGTGATAAAAAAGAACTCGTCGTCGCCGGTCAAACCGCTCCTCGTCGCCTTGCCATCATCGCAGCGCGTGGATCTCGGCCTGCTCCAGGGAAGTGTATGCCGGGCGCCGAAGCGTCGGGGTTCTGACGGGCGGGCGAAGAAGGCACACCCCAGCTCGGCCAGGACCCCGTACCCAGGCCTTCGGTGGGATGCGATGCAATTGCAAGCCACACATGCTGGTTGGGTGATTGTGTCCGTACATGTGTGTGTGTGTGTGTCCGTGTGTTTTTGTGGACATGCGTCCTCGTGTGAGTAAATGTCCCTGCATGACCATGCGTCCCTCTCCC